TGATAGGTACAAAGTGAGTGGAATTTTAGTCAGTTTTGAGAACGTTGTCATTAATTAGCATCTAGGAAGTCAGCAATGAAATCGAGAAGCTGCGTGCAGAAGCAGAGGAAGATTTGGCAACGGCAAGAGACTCCGTGGATCAAGCAAAAGGGCGGGTAAGAGATTCACAAATAAGTGCTTTGCTATCATAAACAGGGTAAAATTAATGAGTAATAAATGTTGTAAAGATTTCAATTTTCAGCTTGAGCCTGTGCACAGCATTCAGGAATTTAGGCAAAAGAATCAACAAAATAAATTTCCAATGAAAATGCTTTCTGTGTTTAGCTCCATTTTGAAAAAAAGTGTTTTCTAATTTTCTCCAAAATCTGAACTTGGAATGCAGGAACTTTCAATGAAATCGATTAAGAAAACCTTGATTTACACCATTAGTGAATCAATAAGATAATTGTCGTTGTGATTATGGGTTAATCTCAAATTTTTGAGAATCTTATGGTTATAAGCGATCTAGGGCATTAGCTGTTTCTCATTTTGAAATTTAGTTAAGTATAGAATGATAAGCGCATAAGTTATCCTGCAGGACTTTGAACAATAATTCTTTTTCCACAGGAACTTCTAAATCTGTTCGATGACAGTCGTGCCATCAATGAGACACTTGGGAGCGCGGAAGAATTGTCGCAAGAATGCCGCAATATTTCCATGATGTAAATCTTGATTTTTAAGCAAGTTTTAATAAAAGTCTAAGAAAACTGTGTTCCAGGTACGCTCAGCTGATCGATGAGTATGACGACATTTTTGTGCAAAGCGCCGCTGAACATGCTGAAACCCTAGAACGAACTGCGAATGTTTTGAAAAACTCCTTTACGGATACTCGTACAGAAGCAGAGGATCCTCTCAAAGCGTCTCAAGCTTATGAGGAGATAGCATCGGCTTTGAAAAACGCTACAGCGGCTGCCGAATTGGCTGTGGTGAGCGATGCGCGGACGGAATGTTTCGGGATATTCTCAGAATTGTCCATTTG